CTGTCGGGAGTGTGGGAGATAAGTGTGCAAGACTAGAAGTTCAGTTAGGAGATGAGAAAAAAATGATAGCCAACACATATGAAAGACTTAATGAATGCCAGACCATGTTTTAAGGGCTTACTTATCATCCCCATTTCACACATGAGAAAACCAAGTGTTTAAGTAACTTGCTTAAGGTCATCAGGCTCTAGTATGAGCCAAGATTTGGACTCAGGTCTCAGCCTGTGACCTTAACCTGTACATTGCCATGAATCTGAATTTTGGATTATAGTCCAAGATGCATCATTTTTACTTGTTTTCATTTAAAAATACTACCTTAAAGCATGCCCAGTGCATACACTGGTCTCGGAGGTCCCATTCCTCCCGGCTCACAGCCACCACAGCCACAAGGGTCGGGAAGCTGAACTCCAGAGAACTGCCAGTGAAGGAGTCTGTCTGGGACTGGTTCTGCAGGGGGCATAGAACTGTGCTGAAACAAGGCCTTTGGGAAGCTGGCAGCTCTGGCTCTGTGAAGAAAGGACGTTCCTGTCCCTATGGCCCTGCCGGCCCACCCTCCCTGACAGCCACACCTGTTCTGTCCTTCTCCCTGTACCCAGCCAGACATCTCTCCCAGAGTGACAGCAGCAACTGGGGACCTCTGCAGAAGCTCCCTCTCAGGCCTGACAAAGACACTCAGAACCTGGCTCAGGCCTGCGAGAGAGGGAGGTGGAGGCGGGGGTAGGTGGGAGGGCCAAGGGATGTGGACAGCTGTGGGCTGCTGTTGCAGGCATGGCCCTGCCCCGGAACAGGTGAAGTAAATGTGAACTAAGGCAGAGAGTCCCCTGGGTTTTCAAGGGTAAAAGAGAACACAGTGAAGGGATTTCTCAGCACATGGTGGCTTAACTTAATGGCTGGGGAAGGACATGGCAAAAAGGGGTGAAGAGAAGACACAGGCATCAAAGGAGTGTCCCTATTCAGGCTGGATGGGTGCACTGTGGACAAGCTTGGTAGGAAAGACACAAAGAGTGGGGACTGGGACAGAAGTTTGGAGAGACACCTGGGTAGGGCACTGAGCCAGTGTTGGAAAGAGTCTCTGGGCAGAGCCCAGCAGAGGATCACCCTGAAGCTGATGGGGTGGACCTGGGGTCTTTTCAGAGGATAAAGAATCTTGCCTCGACTAGGTTCTTGAAAGGGAGAAGCTAGTTTTGGGAGACAGGGTTATAGGATAAAGCAGTTTAAAAAAAATTTGTAAACTCTTACGGTACATAGCATGGTACATTTATAACGCAGTTTTTTGTCCTTGGGATTCCCCCAAAGTCCCTAGAAGGTAGACATTCTTTTATTTTTTTGTGTAGTAAATATAGTACATCTCTTAGGGTCTTAAGTGTCAACTTTCCTAAGATCACACGGTGATGGGTTAGTTAGGCAGGACCTAAAGTCGGTCCTGGTTGCCTGTTCTTTCTGCAACCTTCTCTTTCTTCTGTTGTAACTGTAGGTAATGAGGTCCTAGAGGTAATACCTTTATTCTGGAAAGGGAAATGACAACAGGGACACAAGGAACATAATGGACATAAGGAACCCAGCATTGTGGACTTGTGATTTCCTCAAATGTATTTGTACCCCCAGTTCCCTCCATTCCTGCAAAGGTTAGTTATTCACTTAAATGCACCATGTGTCCTGACCTCGATGAAAAGTGGAAAGTCCTGACAGAGAAAGGACAATGGAAAAAGGACAGGAAAGCAGACATGGGGTTTAGGGTAAGGAAAACTCTTTTATGTTGTGAATGATAGAAGCAGGAAGTTAATGTAGGCAGGTGGGTGGGTAGTGAGAACCTGCCTTCCTTGGAAGTTTTTTTTTTCTCTTAATAACAGCTTCATTGGGATGTAATTCACATAACGCAAAACTCACCCTTGAGGAAGCTGCTTACTGGTCTTAGGTTGTCCCAGAAGTGGAAATTGGTGATGACACTCAGGGTAGTGGGGATCACTCTGAGTGGAGTCCAGAGAGCCGATGTGGTTCCAGGAAGCCTCTGTGATGCCATATCCTGCCATCATGGGACCCAGAGTTTGGAATCCTGTCTAGGGTGCCTTGCTTCCCGGGGTGTTTCTCAGCAGATGCACTCCCTAGGAACTGGAGTTCTGTCCTCCTCTCTTTCCTGCAGTTGACAAAGAAGTTTGGATGATGGAGAAAAGCCCACTGTATGGGTGAGGTCCTGGAACACTTCTTTTTTTCTTTCCCAAAGGGCACCCTTCTTAGCTGCCCCAGAGGCCTGTAGAAAGGGCTGGGGCTTCTAAAACCAAAACTTTCACTTCACATGTCAGTGATTCTGCACTGTCATATCTGCAGCAAAACTGACCTCCAGGGCTTTCCCGGAAGAGCTGCAGCTTTCTTTACACATCCTCATCTGCCTACCTCTGGGAGGGAGACTTCTCCTGCCAGGCAGGGGCCATCTGGGACAGTCTTGAGCCCTCCTTCTCTACACACACACACACACAAACACACACACACACACACTCCTTCCTCCCTCTC